CCTAATCAACGATACCCTTGGCGCTGCATGCAAGGGCAGAACGGCCAGGAGCTCACGCTTAGAGCTTCTCAGGCAGTGTGCAGATTTATATCCAAGTGAATCACCATTCTCTTTCAGAAACCATAACTTTGCCCAGGTAAGTTGGAAGTCAACAGCACGACTGGCAGCGGATTCTATATGTTCTTATCCTATTGAGTCCGCCCGCGAGCGTGACGGATCTGTTTTGCGCGACTACGATAATGCTATCAGGATCCTCTCTACGGGATTGAAGTTTTCCGACATCACCCAGGAGTGGGATCAGCTTGTGGACTCCCTTATTCGCGTCGTGCGAACCGAGAAGGGTGACGATGCAATTGCAACAATGGTTGTAGAACCACTCTCCGAGTGCATGATGGCGCTCAGAGTTCGGGACACCTACTTGCCAGCAGCCTCCTTATTTAGGCATTCCCTTTCCATCACATACTGCCAATATAACGTTCGGAACACAGAGGGCTCGGTAGGCGGACAAGATCGGCATGCCAGCGACAGTTCGATATTTCCCACAAAATTAGTTGAACTAGTCAATCGGATCCTTCGAGAGTCTTATGAAAGCTTCGACCCTACAGTGACCAATGGCGTCGCGGACTTTTTAGAATCGTTCACGTCCCTTCTAAGCTCTGGTGTTCCAGCATTTCGCTCTGCGATCCTTGAAACTACTCAACAACCCCTTGCTCTTTGGTTAAAGGATGACGTGCGCAAGGTCAACGTTGAAAGTGGTGTGGAAAGCAGAATCCTCACTGCGGTAAGTTTATTAAGCAAGGGATGTGGAAGAAAGTACTAACAAGGCCAAGGGCCGCGCTCTCTCGTCCGCAGTTATAAATATTTTGCAAGCTTGTTCACCCCACAACGCCTCCTGTCTACAGAGATTTGAACCTATTATATGTGCAGGCCTCGAGTCCTCCCATATGTCTATAGCGAAAAGGTTTCGCGATTTCTGGAATCCTTCATTTGGACAACAAAAGTCACTCCCATATCCCGAATCTATATCTCGTGCGCTGCAGCAGCTTGAATCGCAGATCAAGCTTCAGAACTCGGGACAAGGACAGCGCCACGTACGTGACTTGCTATTCGCTTTTGAATTTATATACTGATTGGTTCCAGGCTGGGCTTCCGACAACTTCCCTTGAATCACAAGCATTGAATAGCAATCGGGTAGATATGTCTGAAAAATCCCGCATAGCGTTTATCCTAGACCATCCAGTGGAGCCATCCTACCCTGTGGGCTTCAACTCATCTCCTGTCACGAGAGTCATTGAGCCTAGAGTTGCGCAACAGCCAGGTGAGGCACGACCGCACCAGTCAGCCGAACCCAACGAAACAGATCAAGTTGGCATTGAGGAAGCTTCGGTCTCATTTCTGCCACCCAGCGAAGAACCCAAGAAGCGTACCGATGTATTTTCGATGATCGAGAATCTCCGCTCTTCTTCGCCCCCCACAAATACACCGCAAGAATACGGGTTCATGACACCTCCGCAGTTACGTGGTCTGCGTGGTCCCGATCGTGAGTCGGGAACACCCCAAACGCCTACTTTGCCACCTGTCGTAGCTGACAACGAAGACGGTTTTTTGGGCTCTTCCCCTACCCCCGGTATAAGGGCCCGAACGCAGTCTGTTGGATCGCAGATCCCATCGTCGTTGTCAACACCAGCAATGGACTCTCGCTTTGACAGTGACATTCCATCCTCTCCTCCTGAGCTTAAGTCCCAGGGTGCAAATGCCCGCAACAAACAGATGTCTCTGACCACTGCAGCTGTCGAGAACAGGGTGAACAAGAAAAAGAAAGCTAAGAAAGCTAAACGTTCGGCATCGAAGGATAAGAAACGGCCTGACGGTCAACATACGCAATCTGAAGAGGCACGCGAAGGTCCCAGTCAAGCAGGAACACCGCTGAGCAGTCGTCTCCGTTCATCTACCGGCAAGACGCCCAAAGCAGACGCACAAAGTACGGCTGAACCTCAGCCTAACATTCCCCCAGTGGGTGAACCAGACCTTGTTGCGAACGCTTCAAAATTCAATCACGGCTCTCCTGACAAGCCAATGTCTTCTAAATCTACCGCTAAAAACGTCGCCGTATCTGGTGAAACCACAGACTGTTTAGAGCCTGCTTGTGACTGGATCGTGGATTCTTTTAGCGACGACATGGAGACGCAGATTGCGTCTCAACTTGAGCAAGACCTAGAATTCGCTGTCGATTCAGATAAACCAGATCAAGAACAGGAGGCAGGACTTCCATCTGAACCTCCGTCTGAACCTCCTATGACAAGAAAGAGGAAAAGAGATGAAGAAAACGCGTCGACACCTTCTAGTAAAGAGCGGCGTCGATCGACGAGACGTCCTGCGAAGGAAATAGACGATACTGATCTCGAGGAACCTCGGAGCACTCGCTCAAAGAAATCGGTATTGTTGAGCAACGCCCAACAGGTTGAATCTTCACCAGCTGGGTCAGCGCCGAAGAAGCAAAAGCTCCATGTCAAAGGCGATGCAGATGATGTACCTGCCAGACTGCCCGATCTACAGCTGGACAATATCGGCGCTACAAAGGTCAATGAGGTCACTGCCTCTCAAAAACGCAGGTCCTCCCGCCTGAGTGGTCACTCCCCACTGGCTGTACCAAAAGAAGGCGCAACTCCCAGAAAATCACCTCGAAACGGTCGTTGGCGCAAGCGGAGCGCCAAGCGTAAGGGCAATGCATCAAGGGAACCATCTCCGAAGTCAGAGGCTCAGTCCGAAGAAACTGCCATTGCGGCTTCCCATGATGACTGCCAAGAAGAAATACACCAGGGTTCTTTCGAACAGAATGACATTCAACACCCCGAAGAACCTGCAACACATACCCCGGCCGCCGAGAACATGGCCACCGCTCTTACGAACGAGAAGGAACTACCTACCAACCAAGAACTTAAAACCGATATCAATATAGGAAACGCGGAGGTCCATTCCGTTCCCCAGACAAGAAAACAAGCGCTCTCTCAAACAACCCAGGCAGATGCCCATCCAGAGAATATCGGCAGCGCAACAGGAATTATCACCTCGTTCAGAAACCTGCTAGACGATATTAAATCGGCCACCTTAGACCGAGATGCTATTCGACAAATTGATGACTTGATGTTCGAAATCAGGGTTGAAACGGGTGAGGCATTAAGGAGACATACTGGTTAATCTTTCATATGCATAGCGAAGGCGTTGAATTCTTTATGTTACGTTCTATATCTTATTCCTTACTTTCCTGGTTATGTTGGAAAAAGGCCATCATCATTTTGTGTTCGTTTTCTTTTGAGATGCCTCTGTTTTGTTGGTTTGTACATTTCACTATTTCTTTTGTTTGACACTGCGCGATGGAAGGCTATGGGTAATTGATACGTACAAAAAGGATATTGGACGGGGACATTAGTGTTGGTATCTGGTATCCATACATGAATATATTCATCTATAGAGAGTTGATTTTGTCCTTTCGTGGGTTATTCTCCTATCGAACGCGATGAGATAAGGCCGCCCCACGTGCCCCACCGTTGTTGTTCTGCCAGTTTTCGGTGGTCCCCGCATTGCATCAATCGTCCCGTCACCTCTTCAAGTTCACATATCATTGCTTGCTTTGTTATAGTATCTGTCTACAATGGACCGTTCTAACAAGCCTTCAGCCATCGGCGTGGGTGCGTCGGTGCCTCAGCCCACCATCTCCCTCCGTGATAATACTGTCGAAGCCACGCTGCCCTCCGGTGAATCCGTTACGATCCACCTGTACGGAGCTACTGTCACTTCCTGGAAATTAGCAAATGGCAAAGAGCAATTGTTTGTGAGCGAGAAGGCTCACCTCGACGGTTCAAAGCCAATTCGAGGCGGTATTCCCGTGGTGTTCCCTGTACGTCCGTCCACTCAAGACTTCGATTCAGACTGCGCTCTTTAACTAACCCGATCTATTGGTGAATGTGTAGGTCTTCGGCCCTCCTTCTCAGAACCATGCCACATCCTCCCTTCCACAACATGGCTTTGCGCGTAACAGCACTTGGGAATTTCTGGGCAAGTCATCATCGGAATCCCTAGGCAAGGATCGCAGCGGAGATGGCTCTGTCAAGCTAGACTTCGGTCTCTCCCGCCCTATGCTCACAGAGGATTTCCAGAAGGCATGGCCGTATGACTTTGGGCTGGTATATAGCGTTACTCTGACCAAGGAGAGTTTGGAAACGTCTCTCCAAGTGCAGAACAAGGGTAGTCAGAATTTCGACTTCCAGGTGCTGATGCATACGTATCTCAAGATCGACGTAAGTCCCCAGGAATTTATGGATCCCATTTTCACGTTCTAACCTCTCGGCACCAGGACATCTCCGACATCCGCGTCAAGAACCTCGAGTCCAAGACCTACGTCGATAAAACACAGAACGCTGCCGTTATCACCGAAACTTCCCCTGCCGTTGAGATCAACAAGGAAACCGACCGTGTATACCAATCCTTGGACCCCAAGGTGCCTATTATTGTTTCGTCCGCCAGCGATGATAAGCCCATTTTCTCCATTACCAGGGAGAGTTTGAACGATGTCGTTGTGTGGAACCCTTGGATTGAAAAGGCCAAGGGCATGGCCGATTTTGGTCCGGATGAGGCATACAAGAACATGATCTGTGTTGAAGCAGGCTCCGTGGCTGGATGGCAGACTTTGGAGGCCGGTGACTTCTGGGAAGGTGGACAGTCCATCCGGCCGAGGCTGTGAAGAGTTCCAATCAAGTCTGACGTATTATGATATATGGTTAGACAGCTGGCGGCATCGTCTCTCTTCGAGCTTGCAGGTGGAGAATATGCGCCAGGCGCGGCAGAGTACCTTATCAGTCTTAATGGTGTTGTAAATAGATCGCCGAAATTATGAACTCTGAACATGAAAATATATTGACGATTTCGGTATCACATTCCATGACTATGTGTGCAGTCTGATATATACAAGATGCTGTCCCCACGTTCTAGATGCTAATGATCTAAGTCTTTTCCTCCACAGGGCGATTTATTTCGCCATTAAGTCGCAGAGCAGCGTCAATGCTATATTGAGGTCCCCTGTAGTCACGCCTACCCCGAAAGGCCCACCAGACCGCAGTCATAGCCATCAACCCTACAACAATGACACTAGTATAGTTCATATTATGCGCCGTAGCCGGAAGAACAAGAGGGAAACAAAAGAAAACCACAGTCACAAGAATATACACAACAGCAACAGCATTAACAACAAACCCAAATCGCCCCAGATAAAAAGGCCCAGGAACGATATTCTTCCTTCCAGTCAAGACATGCGGAAGAATAGCCCCAAGGTAGGACAACGTGCTCAGCACAATATAAGAGGAAATCAAAGCTTGGAACGCCGTTGTGCTCCCGATGTATATACAGCCGAGACACGTCACCATGGTACTCACGGCCACAGTTGCACGAACAGGGGCGTTGAGTTTGGGGTGTACTTTGCTGAAATAAGAGGCGAATGGGGTTGCATTGTCCCTGGCAAGGCTCCACCACATACGTCCACCTGTGACCAAGGTTCCGATTAGAGTTGGAAAGGTGGCGAGGAAGAGGACGGCGATTAATCCGATTGCGCCTGCGCTGGATCCGGTGGCTTGTTTGTAGATTTCGGCTGTTGGAAAAACTGCGATTTCGCTGCTGAAGACGGCGTCGAGGTCTTGGATGGAGTAGAATAGCGCGATTAGGTATATGAATGCTGTGGTGAAGGCTGTGAGCATCTGGAGCATGATGCCTTGGGGAACTTTAGTTTCGGGTTTGGGTACTGCGAATGGAATCAATAGATTGTTCCTGGTATAGATGGAGAGATGTACCTTCTTCTGATAAATGGCTTATGCAATCGGGGACCCCTACTGCGAATGCTGCATTCAGTAGTCCGGTCATGAAGCTAATGCCATCTGTCCATTGTCCCTTGTTTTGGAATTTCGTCCATACTTCAGAATTGCTCGCATGTTTCGTCGGCATCACTGCAAGGATAATAACCGTCACGACTAACCCGCACATGGAAAGTAGCAGGGCGATTCGGTTTACCAGAGGGATGAACCGATTCCCTAAGCAGACTATGCCGCAACAGATCCAATTGACTAACTGGAAGACGATGAAAACCTGCCATGGTTGCCACTTCAGGCCAGGACTCCGGAGCATATGCATAGCCACGAGCTCGTTCCCCATCATTGAGCTGATGGACGATGCAGAAAGAAGCCAGGCACAGGCATTGAGATAGCCGGTGAAGAATCCGACAATTCGTCCATGCTTTTGACTTAATACCGATGACCAGTAGTAGACTCCTCCAGCAGATGGCATTGATGAGGCGAGCTCGGATAGAGAAGCAGAGATCAGTGTGTAAAAGACGCTAACGAGAATGAGCCCGTAGAGAACTGCCATTGGTCCTCCATTTTGCAGAGCTGCAACAATTGTACCGCCAGTTGATGCCCATGAACTTACGATAGTCAGCTACTAGTATCTCTTCTGTTTTGATTATCGTCACTTACTTGGCAATGATGATCCCTAAGCTAGTTAAGCTGACGAGATCGAAATTGCGGGCCAACTCCTGTTTGTGTCCTAGCGCAGACTCTAGTCGAGCTGCATCCATTGTGTGTTATTGCCAAATAAGTTAGAATTGGCGGTGTTCGTGAAGACAACCACACTGCATGCATTGTTGACGAAGTTGAAGTGACTGAAAAGCCAGAGTAACAGTTCTTTATTCTCCATAGCTATGCAAGGGTGCCATATGGTTACCACGTGAATTGAAGAATGGGCGCCATGTAGTGTCATATAATCTAGAATAGGCAGTTTTGAAGAGAAAGGGATGTTCGTCATCCACTTACGATGAAAGATGATCCCAAATCGATGCAAGGGACTCGGAGTTCGTAAAATGACGAAACCCTAAATGATTCGCCACGGAACATGAATACTTTTTGAGGAAGAAGATAGGAGGTCCATTCACGTACAAGGTAACTGCCTAGAAATATGTAGAATGTTCTATGTGCTGACCTTGTGCATATCTGATAACGAAGGTGCCTTTCAAAGGACATAGTTATATTGATATCTCACATCAGGAAACATTTCCGTATACACATCTGGCAAGTTATTTACCTGTCTTTCAAATCAAGCATCATGAAATGTAAATGAACCTCCGTTGTCAAGACAAATTGTACACAATCCCTTTGTGATTTCGTATATCCAAGATCCCAGCAGTGATGAAGGCTCTGGATATATCTTCATGCGTTCACTTTTGTCTTGAGGTGGCAACATAGGGTCCTGAACATTCCCTTCAATATCCAGTTGTTTGAATTGAGGGAATGCGACATCCGATGCCTTGACCAAACAGCACAACTCTGCCACTAATATCTTGTGGTTACCCTTCTCCCTGTCCATATCAGCTATGCAAAGATATTCAAGGCACGACGGTAAAATATCAACCAAAGGAGCCCCCAGCATACCACCAACAAGGCTATCCATACTTAGTCGAAGACGCTTCAACGCTGTATAGTCTCTCAGCGACCCAAAGTTCTGATTATCAACCGTGGCAGAAGAATCTCCCCAGAAGTGGTCCACCGAGAGTCCTACCAACGTGTCTTTCCTTGCGCCAAGGGCCTGGCTGAAAGCTGCAATATCCAATCTAGAACTGTCGTGATGCGAATATTTGAATGACTTGAGGTTTTTGCAGGGCGCAATGAGATCACGACAACCATTGGGCATACGGCTTTGGACTATCTCAAGGTGTTCAACCATGGAGCTTCTTCTCTGGTATTTGGTTGTCCTGCACGAAGTTACCGGTAAACGTCTGTGCCTTTAAGACTTTCATTGATGGTAGCTGGTAGAGTGGCCTTATTTGTTCTATTGAAATACCCCCCATAGTCGACTGGGACATCCTGATATGGGCCCGGTGTAGATGTGACAAGCCCGGTCTGTGGTCAAACGGCTTGTCTCCAGCATCCATACGCTGTAGCATCAGATCGACTGGATGTCTAGCCTTTCCTATCCTGTAATAATCTAGTTCTTCTAGATTTGGAAGAGGGTATAGAAGTAACGGCATCCAATAATCTATCTTTTGGTCCCCTTCTAACTAAGTTATCCATTGAGCCCCTTCGCTTGTAGAGTGGCTGATTTCTTCTGTTATGTCTTCCAAGGTCTTTCGTACCATGCAACCAATCCAGCGCCCCTCGTTGGGCTCTCCGACTGTTAAGCAGCGCACATTTTTGGCCAGAGAGCGGTGCTTAATGAATTGCAAAGTCAGCGGGATCAAACACCCTGCACTGTATTTAGATAGTTCTATCGATGAGAATATAGTCGGCAGCAGGAATAGGTAAAAACGTCGACATGATATAGCTAGGTTAGATCGCTGTCGATAAGTTTCAAGATGATTAGAGATCATAAGAATAGCCTCCGGATGCAAAGATAATGGCATGTTTGCATTTTAGAATGAATGCTGAATATTGGAAGTTTTTTGTATCACTCTTGTGTTGTGATATCAAGATTGACCCCACTTGACGTGTACTATAAATGTAGATCATTCCCTCTAAAATCCACTCATCAGTCGCGAGGAAAATGCTTCCGAAGAAACTGATCCATGCTCACATTGCCTAGCGTCCAGGAGAATACTGTAACCTAACATCCCACTGCTTTAATCCTAGCGCTTCATGGTGACAGCAACGAGTCAAGCTAGAATAGAAAGGGTCCATCTTCGACGCGAATTTCGCCATCTATCAGAATGCAACGTGCCTCACCGCTATTTATTAGACTTGACAGGCAGTATCCACGTGCCGACTTGGAAGAAAAATGCAAAGTTCGGCATCTTCGTGACGGCCCGGACTGGTTCGATGGAGGATGTTGTATCTCACCCCATAGAGTACAGACCTTATGTTAGCTAATCCCTGCTAGCAATGCCTAGAAAGACCAAAGTAAACCCTCAATGCAAAGGTATACTCACCTTTGGTTCGTAGCCAGGATAAAGACTTATCCCTTCATGCAAGGTTACGCATTGTAACCAACGGCTGGCACTGTCATGACGATGCAGGTTGGGCCTCTCTGCAGTCCAGCCTGTCAAAACGTCTCGAACACACTGAACCTTACAAAGCATCAGGAAATTGAACAGTTCGGTGAATGTCAGGCTAAGAGCCCATGCTTCGCTTAGGCAAACCTAACGGGTCGAGCAATGCAGATATAGTTCGCCTGCAAGCCCTCGCTGCCTTCAGCATTCCAAGGAACACAATGATTTTCCCCGAATAATTAAGACCCCTTGTTGTACAAGGTCATTGGAGGGTACGTGGCGGACACATGCCCCTACACTGAGGCTAGATCTGGTGTTGTCTATCTCAATCTCCGCAGTGAAAACTTTCAGTAAATCGATGCAGGCCTGTCTCACTCCTAGAGTAATCTACCGCTGCGCGGCACCTGACAATAACATGTCGGTCGCCGTTCCGCCAGTGTTGTGACATCCCTTGCATGGGAGCTCTCCATTCCCTTGCTTCTGCCACTCGGGCACGATCAAGACCACCCCCTATGTGCCCAGTGTCGAAATGACTCCAGTAAAAATGCTAATAAGCGAGAAACATACTGCGTTGTATCCAGGGTACAAGGAGATTTTTGTCCCTTTTCAAACCAGCTGTTGTTGACATCTTTTAAGTCTAATGAAGTCCATTGCATGCCCATGTATGCCAGCCCTAATATGTCCTACCTCTCCATAGCCAACACACCCCTTAGTCCTACCTTAGAGAGGCATTATAGACTATCAACAAGATGGGGAACGTGTCGCCCACCCCTCATGAGCTTCTTACCGAGGCCTTGATTTTTTGGAGTATTGCCGTCGTTCTATTCATCTGTAGAATGTACGTACTACCAGTGCTTCTCGGCGCGAAAACCAGCGCATCTTACGCCGATTATCTAGGATCTCTCGGTTCATTGCAGCTGGTTCGGTCAAGCGTTTGTCTCGTATGCTGCTATTCATTCCACATGCTATAGACATATGCTGACAGTGTGAATAGTTGACGACTATGTCATGACTGCAACTTTTGTGAGCTTCACCTGTATCATGCTTGATAATGGGAACTAACGCTTCCATATTTTAGATAATCTACACCAGCTTGTTAATTCTGATCCAAATCTCTTCACAGCATGGGACTAACCTGTTCCCCCCGGAAGACACGCAGAGAATTCTCGCAGACCCCCAGCAAGTCAAAGATCGAATATACGGGAGCAAGATTGTCATCGGCCTGGAACAGTGTATGCTGTTCTCGACATGGGGCGTTAAGATATGCATGTTGACCTTGTTTTGGCGGTTGACTGCGAATATCCGCTTCCTGCATCTCTACGTCAAGGCTATTGCCGTCTATGTTGCCGTTGGCTTTGTTGTGATTATGGTAGCGTACTATGGCATATACTGCAGGCCTTTTGAGCAGTACTGGCAACTTCCAGTGGAGAATATGCAGTGTGCAACATATCAACACTACTCCATTACCCAAGCTGTCTTCAATATCTCCTCGGACGCTGCCATGCTTGTTGTGCCCATCCCGCTACTTATGAAGACTCAGTTAAAAACCCGGAGAAAGTTCATTCTGGTCTGTATTATGAGCCTGGGGGTTTTTACCATCTTCGCTGCGATACTCAACAAAGTATACAATTTCGCGTCTCCGCTCACAACTACATACCAGATATGGTACATCCGGGAAGCAAGCACCGCAATATATGTGGCCAATTTGATCTGCCTCTGGCCACTCCTGCGCAAACTATTTGGCCTGAAGGCGTTCCAGGCCAATAGTAAGCATTATCGACAACATGGCGCTCATCTGATGAAGGAATCACCCGGCGCCTCGCAGTCGCCAGGAACTACGATCAGCTCGCAGTCACGACCATCGTTCTCAATCCCCCGTATTTATTTGAGCAGGCTCGGAAGTGGGAAGACAGTCAAAAATATTGGGTCCCAGGTGGCTGACGAGGTACCTCCGAGCCGGGAAGCAGCGAACAAATTGTCGGCTAGCCCCCTGGATACGATGGAAGTCACTCATCAAGAGAAGAAAGGTCTTGGAGAACCGGGCCCCACTCTGGGTGAAACGTATACATCGCATGACCTTGAGCACGGAGATATTAGGCATATCGACTACCACTCCAGCTTGAAGTTTGGGTAATGGGGCGCAGCTGAAAAGGCCCTACTTCTCTGTTCATTACATAGGAGTAAATGGCCAATATTCGACGGAACAATGTGCCTCGCGGATGGACCTCTCGGTGCTATGCTTAACAAAGTCTGACTTGCCGGCTTTGATGTCATCAGGAGCGGATATACCGAGCGTAAAACTCGAGACCATTGCGCACATTAACGGTGGATTGAAATAGATATCGTCTCAGATTGTCCTGGGGAAAACGTCACTTCTAATCATTGCTGCCCTTGGCATGGCAAGAACGGGAAATATCTGTGTATTCGTTTCCTCCCTATTACTTGGTCCCTGATCACCGAAGCTCTTATTGCACAGAGGGCAGCTTGCACGCCGTCTCGTGAGCCACGGATCCACGCAGGAAGAGTGGAAGATGTGCCCGCATGTCAGAGGTCGAATATAGGTATCCCCTTCAAAAGAATCCATGCAAATCGCGCATAAGCATCCCGACTCGCTGGCTACATCGTCAGTGTCGTGCCCACAAGCATTCACTGGGTCGCCAACATGTTTCTGCGCCTTGTCTATTTGCGTGTCTGGAGCATCCTCAGCAGGGTCTGTCTTATGGACATGGCCTTCGGGGACGGTAATTGCTGTCTCCTTCTCTTCCTGACCACTTCTAGGGTCTTCCGATCCTGAGCCCAGCGACTCAATAGTTTCTTTACCAATACTCTCTTTTCTACATCGACCCGCCCACCAGTCGCTGTATTTCATCCGCGGGAACTGCTTGTCAACCTCGCCACTTGAGATCACCGTAGAACCGCGTCGAAAGGAAATACTCTCCAGATCCAAAAAACGAGAGCTTTGTCGGTTCCGACGAAAATGACGGTACCTGAGACCAATAACTAGCCTGTTGAGTGGAACTCCAAATCAACACAGGGATCTTGCGATGTAGAATGAAGCTACATACCAGACACTGATCACGAGAAGGCCGGCACAGACCGGCGCGAGGTAACCGAGGGGAGCTGGCGTAGAGTGTTTGTCAGAATGATCCCCCATGTCAGATATGATGCGATCGTCATCAGTTGGACAGAAATGGTACAAGAGTTACATCAATGAAATGGCTTAATACGCATGGGAATAATATTGTATCACCTGAAGGATAGTTTTTTTTGTTTTTCTTATGGTCTTTTTAAGGTCTGGGAACAGTGGAGAAAAAGCAAAGCAGATTCAGAGTTTTGAACCTCGACCGCATGAGGTAATGACATATGTATAGCATTGAATAAAAGATACGAGCTGGTGGTGTCAAATCGGCCAAGAAACCCAACCCCGCAGAAATACCAGATCATGACTCGTGGTTCCGTCCCTTTTAAGCTGCACAGCCATGAAGAACTGGGATGATTATTGGATTACGAGACTCACTACGAGGTCCGGGTCCTTGGTCCGTCCTGCTGTCATGTGCCAGCTAGTGGTCCACATCCAGACTAGCTGTAGTTAGTTATCCTTTTATCAAACGCAGTTCATGACCAATCCTAACTTTGTTGGCTTAGGAAAAAAGAACGAGAAATGGCAGAACAGAAAGGCTCTAAACAGCTTCCCTAGACGAGCCTTGTCAATTATGAAACGTGACTATACATGTTGCTACATAGACTATAGTCTCTATATAAATGTACTATAAATTCTGGATATTCTATTCTCTAGAATAGAATATTCTTAAAAAGTGTAGTGCTGTGGTTTTCATGAATCTCTAGCCAGCAGTCTCCTAGTATGTAACTGAGCATGATAATAACAGCCTCATGTCGCATAATAATCCGGTTGTCTCTCAGAAACCAGAACGTGTCATGACTCGATACCATATAGCTGCCGAGCTTTATACAGCGACGTTGATCTTTTTGATACTTAAGAATATTCTCCAAAGGCCTCTCGGTGCTGTTATTACGGGTTTTGTATGCATAACAACGAGGACCTGCTTGTCCCACTGCCATTTCCCCGTTGTTTCTGTAACACACGGTTAGGGTTGCTGCATGGCGCAGATTTTGGTGTCCTTCGCCTCTTATAAGGGGAAGCAGGCTTGTCAGCGCTGTGTCTTTTCTTCCACTGATAGCACACGCTGCAAAGGCAGACGGCTCCCTATGTTGAAGCGTTAAAGTCGAGGAACCAGTTAAAGGACTGGTCGCAAGAACAGTTGGCACATACGTGTGGTATGTTAAAACGAACCGGCTGCTGTTCGGCGTACTCCACGTCATTAATAAAGATAACGCCGGCGCAGTCTGCCTGGTTGAGGGGGGCTTCTCCTTCGGGGATGTCGTGGAGGGTATATTCAAGCTCTTTGTCGGTCTTCACAGACACGACGGGCTCTTCCTTGATTAGTTTAGGCCTCTGCGACTCGTTGTCGTCTTCTGCTACAGCTTCGGTCAACAAAGGGTGTTTTATGGCTGTAATGTAACTAGTTTCCAGAAATTTAGGCTTTTCATCGGCTTCTTCAGAATGTCTCAGGAAGTTGAGAAAGTTGAGGTAGTTAGATGGCAACTCTTACATTTTGTTCTCGCGCTAGATGTTATCTCTAGTTGTGGAGAATTCACGGGCTTGATAGAGTGAAAATTGCTCCTTGACTTTAGAAAACATTAACTTCTAATAACCCTGGGGAGGTGAAGATCTCTCCTCAAACTCGGCGGACTTAATCTGGCATCTTTCATCAACTTCGTCACTGTCGTCGGCACTGTCACTGTCTAAACCGTTTTCACTAAGTCCTACTCTACGTGAATTATTGAACTACATTTACATTCGTCACCACAAATTGGAAGGCCATCTGTTAGGCAGTGCACAATGTATAAATAATAGCTTAAAAGTGTTTGTATGTCATGGTTATAATACATACGCTGTTAAGATCGAATCCTACGCATATAAGCCTCCCAGTTGTTGGTTTCCACATCAATAGTTTGCGTGGCTTAAAGACTATGTAGGCGTTTAAGATGATTCCATTGCTTTGATCGAAGTCCACATAGATGTGAACACATCAGGGGGGATATGAGAGGAGACAATAGTATTACTACTTCTATTACCTTGTCTGCTCTCCAGAAAAAACCAATATATATATCAGTATGACAATAGTATAATGAATAGAAAGGCAGTCAGCCCTGAATAAATTTGAAATAGCGCTCGCTTTGGTATCTGTCTCTATGTAGTGTGTTGATTCTGGAAAAGTCACAAGTCTGCTGATGAGAGTTAGCCCTAGTCACGTTATACCAGGCTCACTACATGTTACCATGCAACGACTACAACATGGAGCTACGTATCGCATTCAAGTATAATATTGACTCCTATATAGATGAGTCAATCAAAAAGTCCTGCTTACGAGATCCGAAACTAGTTGTGACTCGGAAACACTCGTTATGTTATGCTTTTTGGAATCCGGATGGACCCATTGTGCCACGGGGTATGTTCACGATATCCCAAGGAATTGGCCATATTCTGTCTTATAATGTACTGACAAAGTTAAGGACATGCCTACTAGTTCCAGTGATAGGGTATAAAGGGGGAATGAAAGGATAATGTAGGGTCATTGGCTCCCTAATGTCCCTGGATAGAGAAAGGTCTAAAAGCATGGGGGATATCATGAGGGTGTGACATGTGTCCATGGTTTTCTAGTCTCATTGCATTTTATTGTTCTCCTTTAGGCCTAGCGGGCCAGCACTACAGTGGGGGGACAGTGGTCATGACTATTCATCTCCTGGTAGATAGCCTAATAACTTCTACATCTGATGGATGAGTTTCGCCCTTTTCCAAGAGAGAGAGGGAGCATAGGTCATATATTATGGGTAAAACAGACATTTCCTTGCACTAGGTACTCTATTCTCTTGATAAACTGCAGCTACTGTGCTTCTGAGCAATCTAGTTGAATAGGCATAAAAGTATATATGAATCTCATATATAAAAAGTTGCGGGCACGGGGGTTCGAACCCCGGACACTGTTCAGGTGTTTTTTAGTGTACATCTTCGGGCATATTCCTGACAAACACTCGCCTTGGGGTTCGACGAATACTATCGTATTTAGCATCATCCCGTCAGAAGAGAAATGAGACTCAGAAGGGAAATGAAAACAGAGACTGACTTGTCCAGTAACAGTAGGACCACAGTGGGATTCTTTCTAAGGTACATATGTTCCAGCTCTACAGCTGACATAAAAAGATATTTTCTCTATCTTACTGACCACTTCCAGTTGTCTCGCACTTCCAGTATATCCTTTTTAAAACACCCATCGATCTGGATTCTATATACTATACAGTATAACATGTCTGTATAATATTCTATACCACCTACACGTGTTGACAGGCTTTGTGGATTTCCTATTCTTGCAGTGTGGGGTGTGACGAAGAGAATGGGTAGCTAAGCTTCTTAGTCTGACGCTGCTATCAGGTAAATGACTTCCAGTGTTATATTATTTTTGCCTCGTTGAGAAAGTTGACGAAATTATCTGCCTTCAAGAAATCAAATGACTCGGGATCAGTCAACTACGAGTTTACTTAGTGTATGAATATTGGCAACAATGAACATCTTCTTCAATTTGGTAGAAAGAAAATAAGAAAAAAAAAACAGAAACAAATCTTTTTAAAAAAGGAGGAAAAAAAAAAAAAAAAAACCGCTATTCACTGAAGTGTTAAAATTTGCAAACCCACATCAATTTCTCCCGCTTCCTCCTCCCCCTCCTCCCCCTCCTCCCCCTCCTCCCCATTCTGCTGCTGCTGCTGCTGCTGTTGTTGCTGTTGTTGTTGTTGTTGTTGCTGTTGCTGTTGCTGCTCAGCAACAGCCCCAGAAGGGGCCTCAGGGGCATCACCACCAGCACCACCGGGGGCAGCGGCGTCGGCAGCCCCAGCGGGGGCAGCAGGGGGGCGCCCCCCCCGGGGACGAGACCGACGAGACCGACGAGACCGCCGGCGGGGGGCGGGGGGCGGGGACAGCGCTGCAGTCTAAATAATTAGTCTTCATTTCAAATTGGTTGGGTGGGGGCTTACCAGATCTCCGATAGCACACAGGCCTCGATTGAGGCTACGCAATCGTGTTCGACATTCACGCTCTGTATGTCCGACACGACGACAGTAAAAACACTATCTCTCTCAAATATTAGTATATGTACAATGTCTTTTACCACATCAAGGCAGTGTAGCAACACTTTAAGGAAGCGAGGAAAATCATCAAGATATAACCGATATCTCAAGAGAGCTTGGACGGAACTATGTGTTTCACAACGCAAGACAAGAGAAGCTGTTACTCACACGGGCCATGTCCTTTGACTGGATGGTGACACGCTTGGCGTGGATGGCGTAGAGGCTGGTGTCCTCAAAGAGGGAGACGAGATAGGCCTTAACGGACTCCTGAAGAGTACCGATGGCGGAAGACTGGAAGCGAAGGTCGGACTTGATATCCTGAGCGATTTCACGGATCAGACGCTGGAAGGGAAGCTTTCGGATCAGGAACTTGGTAGACTTCGGGGAAAGAGAGAGGGAGATAGAGAGAGGAGAAGGAGAGAGAGAGAGAGAGGGACTTAGGCGTGATACTCAGGGCCATGTGATAGGCCTCCCTCACCCTTTGCTATTGGTCACTTTCACTTTCATTGTCCGCTACAAAATGCCATCTACACGTGCGAATTGTGGCCCTTTTGGGTTGGAATAAGTTCTGTTACAAAGCTACAAAAATGGCGGTTATTTTGATATACAGCACCTATATATTCTTTTAATTTGTGGTGCCCTTGAGATGATTGACCATGGGAAGAGTTGTCTCGCAGTGACGTCTTCATAGATGCTGGTGGAAAAGGTGCGTATTGTATGGAATGACGAGGCCTGCTGAAAGCTTCCAACTATCACCTGTTCAGTTGCAATGCTCCTATCTGGTACCTGACTACTAGTTGACAATCCGGACCCACTACTGGCTACCCCGCTTTCCGTCGTGCAAGTTAAGCTAATGCAGGATGTATACTGAAAGTAATTTAGCATCGCTATTTACATCTATATTGACAACGAAGCTTCGACTTGGTGTCGTACTAGTACTAGCTGCACTGACTGCCGTACAATTCCATCAGTTTATTACCCACATATCAAACTTGGAGGAGATTACTTACGTCATGCTCCCTATCAAGATTCCATCCATTTCTTTCTGTCTGATTCCTTTCTGTTTGATTCAAGTTATCTCCTCGTTGACAGCTGCCAAGACTTTCTTAGTTCGAGCCGCTCGACCCGGTGATAAATTCGAACAACCATCACTCAGCCAATAATTGTTAGTTTTCGCTTTGAATAGTTTCATTAAAGAAGGAATATTTTTCTCTATTTTCTAATATACATATTAATGGGGTTATCCTGTGGAACAGCTTGGAATGGCTCATAACCTTGAAGCCGTGATTCCAAAAGTCCGAGAGGCCTTTTTTTGATTGGACAATTGCCGTAGTATGTTTCTGGTATAGTCTGTGCTTGACAGCCAATCACGCCATGGTCCGCCACACCTTATCAGGAACCATGCTAGGCCATAGATCTATACCAGAAGTCCTTCAAGATGGCAATACGAAACATACAACGCTCAACTTATTTTATATGCAACCAGAATGTATCTGAGGTGCAGATACTAGTATATACTATCTATGTAGACTCCGATCAAAGCAATTGAATTATCATGAGCGTCTATATAGCCATCTAGCCACACAATTGTTGATGTAGAAATCAACATCCAGGACATATTTGTGATTGAAAATCGTATGTACTGTAATCCAAGAATACAGTATTGTAGAGCAGGTGACATCCCATTCTGGGTTTGCAAGTGTAAACCTGTAGATCTGTAGAGTACCGAAGACTTAGTAAAAACGACCACGACTACCGACTATACGACTACTACTACGACCATCACCACCACCAACGACGACGACGACGACGACGACTACAACTATTATAAAGGTCAGTATGCCCCCCAACCCCCGTTCTGGAGCTTCCACTAACGACCACGCGCACCATGATCGGGACACCGTGATAACGGATGAAGCCCTTGATCATCAGAGTGCCGTGGGAATTCATAAAGGAGCTAGGGAGAAATCCCAGCTTCGCCAAGGTCCCGAGGCAGAGGAGAAACCTCCGTCGCTTCGCGAGGGCCTTGATGAACAAAGCCGGACTAAGTCCGCCGAGATTGGGGAGAAATCTTCATCTCGTCAGGGTTATCAGAGGTTAATGTCCTCCAGAGTTAAGGAGAAATCTTCGCTCTGTCCAAGCCCTAAAACCACCGCAGCTGGGGGTAAAACTCGGCGCGGCAAGAAAGATAAGAGGGCGAACGTGCCATCTAACCAGCGCAGTATCCTCAGTTACATGAGGCCTGCTGAAGAAGCCGGTGAAACATCCGAGCCTCTACAAACCGGTTGTATTACAGCCGGAAAACGCCCTGCTCCGACTGAAGCTGTAGCTGAAAATGCCAGCGATTCGAAGAGGGCTAAACTAATCAAGCAAGAGCCAGTCGTGTCTGTGAAGACCGAGGAAGAGCTTGAAGATATCCTCGACGACATCAAAGAAGAACAAGAAGAAGTCCCCTTCAACCCGGAGGACTACGCCGATGCTATCCTCATTGAGGACGATGAGTATCCCGATGAATTGAAGCATGAGGATGCTGCCGGGTACGATGTCGAAGAGGATAGCCTGCCAGAACATGTTTATCAGGAGGCGGGCTATCTTGAAGAAGAGGGATTTATCTCGGACGAGGATCGGTATCGGCTTGCCGGTATCGCGGACGAAGATCATGAGGCTCTCCGAGAGAGCTTCGACAAAAGCATGCACAGGGTTATCAGGTACCTGTTTAACTATGCTAAATACACACCTTTCAAAGAGCTTAAAGGTGGCAAATCCTGGATCGCACCGGCCATGTACCAGTGGCTGCAGAGAGCAGACTCTGAGGTTGTATATCGCCTATATCAGGCGATCATCCCTGAGTCTACCCGCACCATCCTGGGCCACGATAAACTGATCGGCAAGCACATCCTTGCTCTTCCGAAGGTGAGCCCCTCGCGTAGGGACAGGGGTGTGTATCTGGATCTTGTCACTAGTCCCGGCGAAGACGGAGGACTCTATACCGGGTCAACTAAAATTTCTTTCGTCGTGCGGATTCCGGCGCATCAACGTGCGATCCAAGGAGGTGAGTCTGGTGCACACTATACATACATCCGAGAGAAGGCAGACAGAAAGCCCCATTTTCGCGTGGTTGCTGTTTTCCCTCGACGTGTGCCAGAGCTTGGGATCGAAAGTGCAGATAGTGTGTGGCTAATCCGCTTTCTCGAGACGGTTATCATGATCGTGCTCGATACGTTCACACCAGGTTCCCGACCCATTTTCTCAGTACCCCAAGACCGACTCGACCACATGAGGTCCGAATGTGGTCTCAGAGATACGGGCTTTCAGCCCCTGAACCGTGCTTTGCCGACAAAGCAGCCGATTGACTCGGTTCGTTCCAAAGCACAACGCAAATGTCCCACCTGCGGTGATGACAAGCCCTCTAATTGGTGTTTAGATTATAACCCTTCGACATGGGTAGCCATCTACCTTTGCAGCGCGTGTTTTCAATGGAAGAGAACACACGGCACTGACAGGCCTGCCTCCCTTTATAACAGGCTACCTCAACCGACATCTGGGCCATGCAGCAACCCAAACTGTGGTGCTACAGAAACCACACGTAAATGGTACCGCGATCCTAATGACAAGGATCGCGTTCTATGTGATGCTTGTCACACATACCAGACCCTCAATTCTGGCAAAGTGAGGTCATTGGAGACTGTTCTCAAGCGCCAAAAAGACCAACGCCGCTGTATAGATTGCCCTAAAGCTGGCCCAGGCATCATATGGCTTCGAGCACATGATCAACCCGGATTACTGTACAGGTGCCAAGTCTGTTACAACAGGTATGAAAGGAGCTTACCAAAAACCCAAGATCATTCTCGACAATGCGTCAGTTGTGGTGAATCAGATCCTAAAGACTGGCACGGAATATCGTCAATGTGTGGATCCTGCCATCATAATGATCAACAATGTCGTCAAGAACGGGAGCGTTCAAATTGCTGGAACTGCCTCGAGCTATGGAAGAAGGAAAAGAAATTCAAGCGCTGGTCTTATTCCCTTCGCGAGTGGCTATGCCATAAGTGTCATTTAGGCCTGCAAACGGGATACCTTCGCATGGCCGCCCACCACCTCGAAAACCTCGATATCAGATGTGAGTTGTGCCGTACTAAGTACGCCAAGGCTTGGTATCCAGGATGCAAATCGACAAACTTGCTCGTGTGCCGACGCTGTGGAGATAGGAACGGCAGAGGTCGAACCGATTTTGGCGATCGTTCCGAAAGCGAACGCGGCCCCGGAGAGCTCACTTACCAGGAAGCCCGTGAAATTGCCGGTAATGCGATCTTGAAACCCGAGTTCTTCGACTACATGAAACGCGTCCATAACATCGACAGATCGGTGGCGGCAATCAATGAAGCGAAGCAACTGGAGGATGCCCTGAACTTATAGGGTCCAAGTCCCACAGACGGGCCAGCTTTTGTATATAGAAATCTTCCATAGTACCTCGCAGTAGGCCGTAGTACCACGTAGATTCCATAGGAGGGGCGGGGCCTCCCACCAAGTCTCTTCGTAAAGCGAAGTACTTGGAGGGGGGATATCGCTATGCATATATCTGTCAGATTTCAGGTAGAATTAATCTCATACGTGAGATTCGGTATGGTTGCTTAGCTTATCTAGGCACATATCTTAAGTTAGTTAACTATAAGTTAAATGCCAAAATGTATATACATTGATACTCGGGCTCTACCTTGTAATATATCATGGGCAATTATATATCTTAACTACCAATAGACGATTATTATAAGTAGAAAACTTTATCGGACGAGATAAACAGAAGATGTAGGTGCAGACGTAGGCCGAAGTGTATAGCGGCTATACAGAATGCGGGTCTATGGTCCGTCAAGCCGCCTTGTACCCGGTAGCTCTCCTTATCCAGGCTAGCTTTGAATGACAAACGTTATTAATTCTTTCTTCAATGTAAAAGCCATGAATGGTGGCAATATCTACCTTTAAAACTGCTGATTATCCCCATCGCCGTTACTTTGGTGGTTTTTCAGGCCCAGTCTAAATGCAGAGTTAGTAGCATTATTTCATGTATACTATTAAATCTATAGCTAACTACTTGCTCTAGAGAAATTTGTTAGTAGCATATGTAGTAGTGATATAAATGCAGAAACTTACCGGTGTCCACAGATACTGCTGAAAGTCTCGCAGCTATTTTCGACAATCTATTACTATATACTTCTCTTCCCAAAAGCACGGCTTCTTGGGGTCTGTATATATAGCCAACAGGTGAAGATGTAGAGGTACACCAAGCGCTGTCGTGTCAAGAGAGCGTAAAAGTATATCAATATTAGATATATCATATAGATACTTCCATCGTATATCAAAAGGCAAAAAAGGAAGTAGGGGTCGTTACTATATCGGGGTAGAGTGGCAAATGAGAGGAATCCTGCCGACTAGTCCTTTCAGCTATTTTAAAATCAAGAGATAGGATCCAAGTTCGAAATTTGATAGGGTCGGTTATAATAAGTAATACGATGTTGAGATGAGATGAAGAAATTTAAAGAGGGGTAGGGCTCTTGAGAACAATATATATTATTCTACCAAGATTGTGAACCTATTCCAAGAACCAAGGCTTAGAATTGTCTCCATAGTAGATACAACCTTAGTATATCAAAATACAACCACAGGATCCAAGTTCGGTATAGAACGACATCAATTATACTGAGTATTAGGGAGTTGAGACGGGATAAATGATGAGAAAGATGATGATCATATAAGACGAGGTATCTGTAGAGAAAGATAAATGGTCTGCCAGATAATTCTCCCACAATGATGATGATAGATTTAGGCATCTTCAACAGTAAATCATGACATTTATGAGATCTCACTCATTTTGGGCGTCTTTGAAAACTATCTAATCTAAATCGTCATATTAATTAGGTAAAGAAGCTGTTCCTTACCATTTTAAGGAGTACTAGAAAGCCAGTTACTACTTACTACAAGTCCTGAAGCGCCTACGTCTGTGAGACTATTTCACCAACCCACAATCAAGTGGCAGGGAACTCAGTAAGAGTTCTACAGACTAGAGCTACTACCGCTACTCAGGAAGATGAGATTCATGCCAATTTCCCTAATCAATGTAGTTCTGAACGTTTGAAAGCCACTTAGAGGTTCAAGTCTCGGGAGTTCCGTAACTTCCGTGCAAAACACGGGCATGCGACCGTTTGATGATTGTTATTATTTCTTTCCAAGCAATGTATCATAATTTCTCCTTCTCTCTCAAAAGTATTCAACTTGAAATGAAGTACATAAGGTATTAGTATTCTTACCTACACTTCTGTGCCTGACTAGGGTCAGCAAAGCGGTTTTCTGCCGGTGATCTCCGAACGCCCCCACCGCCCGGCAGAATAAGCCATGACAGCCCGCACTTGATACCCTATCCGAGTATCAATCTTAGGACCTCAAAAAAACCCAAAAAATCGCAAAAAATCAACCATGCGCCGGGCGGGGTTCGAACCCGCGTGACCGCGTTTTCCACGCTAGACCGAATTGGGAACGCGACATCCTGACCACTAGACGACCAGCGCATTTCTTGAGTGGCGAAGACCGTTTTCTGATCTCTATACACCTCTTGCTTTAGCCTAACTAGGATTTACATGGCCTTGGGAAGGGGTTTGGGGTATTTTTAAGATAATATTTGAGCATACGCATACTATCCTGCCCCTACGGCATTTATTTCAAGCTTATCAAGCTCAGATCCTCGCTAGTTTAATGCTAGAGCATCAGTCACAAATCTTTGATTGGTTAGGTAATATCTCAATCAAAGTGAATTATTCTCTGTCCGGGGATGACAGTTACGCTATATAACTCACCCGGGAGTAAGTTGCTCAATATAAGTGGCTCCAGAAAGTGTAGTTGAGTCTACAAATGCCGCAGGCTATCGATGTACGATTCGGTATGAATATGGGAAAGTTTCACGCAAATATCCATGTTCTGAAAATAGTCAAGCCTTCTACACTATCCTTCTCTGCTATATAATCAGTTATTTTGAGAAAGTCGACACATGTATAGCTCTAAAGTAGTAGTGGAGTAGACAAGGTTAAGATGAAGGGGTATATCGAGTTAGGGCTTGCCGCTTCTATGGGGTCCCCAGGCATCCAGGCACCCTCGGCTCCCAGACGTTGAGAGTGGACCACAACACTCCATTACAGGATTTTGGCCCAAGAAGCACGCATGATAAACCACTACACTACACCCGCTCTTCTTATTTAAAGCGCAAGAAACAGAGAAATATCATCCAAAGGTTGTATAGCCTTCTTGGGGCTTTCGTCCCATGGATTTGGGCATTTTAGGATTTATAGTGGGTCTACATCTTAGTTCTATGCGGAGGCATTGCTGTGGGTCTGTTTTATCTAGTTTCTCTAGTGTTGGTTGTGGTTATAGTGGTGCTATATACTCTAATATTGGGTTCATCGTAGGGTAACACAACCAAGTCGGAGGTGATGCGGTGGCAGAACTTGACTTTTTCAAGTGATCATGTGACCATCGGCTTTTCGAGAGTCATGTTTTTACAACGTTAAACTTGAGCAATATAACAACAATATGAACAGATGACCCCGATTCTTGAGAAGGCCCTCGATCTCATGCCTTACGATATCTTTCAATACTTTGAGAGTCCACGCTTTTCAGTCTGGAGAAGTCTTTGTTCACTAGAACGTTTTCCAATCTCTATACACCGTTTGTTTAGCTTGAATTAAGATTTACGTTGCCATAGGAAGGATTTTGGGGCTTTTCAAGATAATGACGAATATGGGGAGATATCACACAGATATCCATATCCTATATCCTGATAATAGCCAAGCCTTCTACATTACCTTCTCTGTCATATCGTCAGTCATATTGAGAAAGTCGATACATAGGTAGTCCTAAAGTAGCGTTGGAGTAGGCGAGGCTGAGTTGAAGGGTATATCAAGTTAGGGCTTCTATTATGAAATCCCCAGGCACCCAGGCACTCTCGGGCCTCAGGATGTCCACGCTTGGGAATCCATTAGAACCACAACTCTCTCTCCATTACACCTGCAGAGTTTCTTTCTTTTTACGATAGCATTTATCTTTGATATCCACCTTCACTAGAGTAATGCACCAACCGTCAATCTCGGTTTCTATGACGTGCGAAAACTAAACCTCCGGATAAAAACAGTCTACTCATACCATCCTTCGTTCTCGAGGCAGCTCAGTAAATTTTCAATCAGTTTGTTGTTGAGGCTGTACGTATGTACACAAGTCCATGGGGCCACGAGCTTTACCAATCCAAACCGTCATACTACTCCTATCTTTAAAGTGTATACTACTCCTATGTCAGGAGGTACTAGCACCAGTACATAGATTCCCTTGGTCTTGGATTTCCCATGTCTTTACGACTTGTCACTATGCAGCATATTCTTAAACCTCCGCACGCTTTCTGTTTCCTCCAACTCGGGATACAAAAAAAGCACAACATTCAGGTGTGAGTTCGCAGCCTCGATGTTTTCTTCGGTCCGTGCACAGTGTATCTTAACAAACTTCTCATGGATGCCGTTGAAGTGGAAGACTGACTGAAAGAACAGCCTGCTTCCAGAGTCACACAACAGTGTTGATACGGTAGCCAGCAACTGTCGCGATATTTCTTTATGTTTGATCGCTTTCTCAAAGTAACGACGATCATCCTCGAAGTTTTCTCGTTCGGCGACGCCATCATTGCTCCATCCCGAAATGTCGGCTATAAACCAACGGTGATGTATAGCGGCGGGGAGCGGTGCGACAGACATCCAATCCCAGTCGATCACCCCGGAATTTGAGCTATCCATTAGAAAAAGTCAAGAAAAACGACGCACTCTTACCCTGTCACGTGGAAGCTATCGTCTTTCATGATATTATACGCTCAAATCTTCATGGACGAAGCCAACATCTGTGTACTTGTCCTCCCCAGCATAGTAGGGGATCATCGACCTCATGATCAGATAGTCGATCGGATCACCCCATGTAGCAGTTCCAATGAGAGTCCGTCGGAGACCTCGGTCCAGGCTCTTTGTGAGCCAAGTTGAATACCGAGGCTTTTGCTCTGGTACAAAATCAGGGGGGACTGCAGTAGTCCACAATTGCAGTAGGAGCTCTGCGAGAGGCGTTTGACGTTTATTAAGGGGGCTCTGGGAGTTCCAACCCTTCAGTGGTTTACCGGTAACCCACTCTGAATACAAGACAGGGCGTTCTGCCTTGAAAAACACACTCGGTGCTCTGATGCCTGGGTGGCTTTGTTTGATGTGTCGAAACATCTTAACAGCGCGCAACTCATACTTCCAATTGCTGGGATCATGGCATAGGCGTGCAGCCCACTGCACAGAATCCACAAAAACAACCTTGAACACTTTGTGTGAGCCACCCTGACGAAGACGGTGAGCTCCAGAGATAACTTCTGGTAAGTATGTCATTTCCTTTGAAGACATCGAATATACGAAGACGTGAGATGAAAATGATGAGACTTGGTGAGTCGTAGAAAGCTCCGGTCAAACAGTCATGTCTCGAACTGCCGGAGCTAAATCTATGGCACCATGCGGGATAGTTAATCTTGAATTATAACGCTGGAACAATCTACGGACTCTGAGATTCCAAGATACAGTTTCTAATTCCTTCGCTTGTTTACAAGATAAACCCAATGGCAATCCCACCATGACAGTGCACTTAAGGAAGTATTCCCCTTGTTCACTTTATCTGGAATAAAGGACAATTTTGCACCGAATGAATGACGACTGCAGGTGCATGAAGGGGTAGGCATAGGACCAAGCCTCAGACAGCTACCATTCATCTCAACATCCTTTCATTCTTACCAACAACGTGCCTCTAAATACACAAACTGATATCCTGTGGCTTTATCTTTATATGGATCAGGAAACCCCACTCACTATGGGCTTCATCCTGCGATGTTTTCCCTCCACCCTTCTTATTTCCATCCCACTTCACATGTTTCAACACGTTGGTATGGATATTCTTCTCTCCTTCCTTTCTATATCAAGTCACATATACTAATACATCACCCTTCCTACAGATTATGATAGAGAAGTCGTACATAAATGGCTCAACTGGAAGGATATTCTATCATGCACGAAGCGGACTGCGTAGAGAATTGAGCTAAACCGTATATAGAATCATATAGCTTTCACTGCAGCATGCATGAGCACATAAGATACCAGTTAGATAACAGCAACGTTGCCCAACTCTAGACAATGCTGGGCTTGCAGAAGGCAACTACTTAGGCTTATGTCATTATATGATACGCTGCAAGACTTATCAAAGCAAAGCCTAATCTGTCCTTCTAGTCAACAACATCCACTGGGCCGGAAACTAGTTGTGTGGGGATATCTCAATACCGTTTGTCGGTTTCAACTTAAACCAGAAGATGAGCATATTTCGAAGTACGAAAAACTACGGGATTGGTTATGTTTCTCTCAGTACAATACTATATCGTCCTGTCCATAATTATCTCATTTGTAAAGCCCACGATTACGCAAATAAACTCGGTTGTCCATAAATAACCGATAAAACACAGTTTTACAACACATTCTCCGCAACGTCATGTGCGTATTCCATCACAAACTATCGCCGCAGCACCATTAGGACCAACAAGTTAGGGAGAGTGTGTGCAAGGCACGACCTCAGCGCCATCTAGTGTTTTGGTCGAACGGTATTGAGATAACACTAGGTGTATTGTTTAAAAGCTCGCTAAAGCTTGCCTTACTTGGCATTTCAACCAGGACAACAATTCTCAGATGTTAGTAGTGAAAACTAACATTGCAGTTTCGCGGCATCATGATCTTTCGAACCCCCAACTGATAACGGAGAAAACCAGCATCATGATTGATAACAGCAACGGAAGCATAGCAGTATCTACGGGTGCAGATACGTAGCCCATACTGAGATCCAGCAATGATCCAAATCGTTTCCAGTACTCCTTAGACAGGCGAAATTCATCAATACGCCTCTGCCAGCCACTCAGCCTTTGCAGCGGAAACCTTACGAGCCCAGAGCTGTCATCTTATACAAAACCATAAATCAACCATGATCGTCATGGTGTCAAAGACATCCGGCAGAGAACTCCGGACCCGGCCACCAGCCAGGTCACAGATAACTCTACGAACACCAATCCCAATTCAAATACCCGCAGTCCAAGACTATACGGCAGTTCTACGCAACTAGAGACACATTACAGGTAGTCAGTAAAGGATGTATGAGCAACTGATGGCTCCGGCTACCATCGCACGTTAGACCCCCGAAGGGACGTACGGTAGAAGAGCCTTAAGCTGCCCACTTCAATCTGGTTCGCCAATATGACCCACGATCCTGTGGGTGGACCAGTATGTAGGTTGATTATGCGATCGTTTACATTAGATTACTCTAATGCAAGGTAAAAGTGTGAAGAAGAAAAAGAAAAAGAAGGCGGCCGGTAACGTAAAAAGTTTTCTTATATAGGGAGACTAACAACGGAAGCGAGTCAGTCACGTGACCGTTTCCCTCGTCCACTACAAGTATTTCTTCCGAATAATTCTCGGGAGATCTTCTCTTTCTCATCCCAACATCGGACCAGCACAATGGTGCTTCTATGTTTGAGCACCATAATCTGGCCCGATCAATGTTAAATGTATTCCGACGGTCGACAGACAATCCGTAGAACTTATCGAACAAACCACACAGTGCGCGTCTAGCCTTTTCAATGGCGAAGAGGCATACTTTTTTTTTCGTTCGTTCAGTGGGAGATCAAAACCAAACAGCTTTTAGCAGGGCTGCGTCTACTCCACCCTGGTGTTCGCTTTGATCGAACGGCAGGACTATTTTTACGACGGACATCATGAAGAGTACTCAATATTTTGGTTGAGAAGCTATGTCGGGTATTTCTGTAGGTAAGACTGTTGCGTAGGAAGCTGGAGAATGAGGATTTGCCGTGGAATTCCGTACTGCAGATTCATCGATATGAGGAATCTGATGCCCCTTACGGAATGTGGTATCATGTGATACGACCGAGGGCAGCGATTGCTTCGAAGAACTTGTGTGTTAGTAATTGGATGCGAGGGTCTGGAATGAAATTCAATAATCCTCGGTTACTAAGACGGAGTGGGTCATTTCTACCAAACAGCGCGTCGCAATTATTAATGAAAGAGGGCGATGATGTGGAGCCGACCTGGATATCGGGTTGATGTTGATCGTGAAGATGTCGCAGCCTTTCTACCAAAGGACATGTATGTTTGCTGAATGAGAATCGAAAGAATGGCCATGATGCAATGAAGGTGCTGTAGTAAAGTCCGAATGATGAAGAATCAAAACAGAGCCATGGATCCAAATGTCTTGCGACGGCGGTCCAAGCAATAGCTCATTCGCAATCGAGCATCCCCCCTCAGACTAACAAACCCAAAGCAGCTGAAAAACGCGGAGAATTGGAGACAGACCTTTGCTGCCTTTGCTGACTCAAGACTATGGTCTAGACGGAAAGCTTCCAATCACTCTGATTGGTGCGTATCGCCAGTTTCGATGACCTTCGGACTCTGGAAAGCCATTCGGAAAAGTACCTATTAGTAGTATCCCTGCGTTCTCCTCTTCTGCTGCTTCTTCTTCTCCTCCTTCTTTCAACTCGCCCATTCATTCCTTTCATTCTTTCATCTTCCTTCTTCTCGACTTCCATCTACCGTAGTCGTTTCCCCCTGTTGATCCATCTCCATCCCCTTTGTATCAGTCAATCACACCTCCTTAAAACAACCTTCACAATGGCCTCAGCTGCTAGAACCGCTTCCCGGGCCTTCCTCCGCTCGACTCCTTCCGTCAGACCTGCTGTCCGCAGCACTCGTTTCGCTCTTCCCACTCAGGCCTTCCGTGCTTCGGCCCGTCGTGGTTACGCTTCGGAGGCTGGTGAGGCCAAGTCCAGCAACACTTTCCTCTGGGCTGGTCTCGCTGTTGCCGGTGGTGCCGGTGCATACTTCTACCTGCAGGGTGGTGATTCCGTCAGCTCCAAGAACTTCGTTCCCACCAAGGAGGACTACCAGAAGGTGTACGACGAGATTGCTCGTCGCCTCGCCGATGAGACTGACTATGACGACGGCAGCTATGGACCGGTAAGCCTTCACAAATTCAATTCGAATAAGGTATTGGAACTAACCTGTGATTTTCTGTAGGTCCTCGTCCGTCTGGCATGGCACGCAAGTGGTACCTATGACAAGGAGACTGGTACCGGAGGTAGCAACGGTGCTACCATGAGATTCGCTCCTGAGTCCGATCACGGCGCCAACGCTGGCCTCAAGACCGCCAGAGACTTCCTGGAGCCTGTCAAGGCCAAGTTCCCCTGGATCACCTACTCCGATCTTTGGACCCTGGCTGGTTCCTGCGCCATCCAGGAGCTGGGTGGTCCTACCATCCCCTGGAGACCCGGCCGTCAGGACAAGGACGTCGCTGCCTGCACCCCCGACGGCCGTCTGCCTGACGCCGCCAAGGACCACCAGCACGTCCGTGACATCTTCTACCGCATGGGATTCAACGACCAGGAGATCGTGGCCCTGATCGGTGCCCACGCCCTTGGTCGTGCCCACCCTGACCGCTCCGGTTTCGATGGCCCCTGGAACTTCAGCCCTACTGTCTTCACCAACGAGTTCTTCCGTCTGCTGATCGATGAGAAGTGGCAGCCCAGAAAGTGGAACGGCCCTGCCCAATTCACCGACAAGACCACTGGAACTTTGATGATGCTTCCTGCCGACATGGCCTTCGTCAAGGACAAGGCATTCAAGAAGCACGTTGAGCGCTACGCCCGCGACAGCGATGCCTTCTTCAAGGACTTCACTGATGTCTACGTCAAGCTCCTCGAGCTCGGCGTTCCCTTCGAGAGCAAGCCCGAGGATCGCTTTGTCTTCAAGGCCTCTCAGTAAGCGGTTTTGATGCCCTGATGTCGCATGCTTTGGGTTGGATTTGGTTACAGCGCACTGTTCCTTTTTTTTTCTGTTTTGATATCCGGCGTGTCATTTTAGATACTGGCCATCAGAGAATGGTGTCTTCATATTACTTTGCCATGTATATGTGGAGGATATCCACCAGGCAATTGGCAGTTTGGTAGAAAAGATTAACTCGAATCAAACACCGTACCATCAAACTTTTATCCAAGCCGAACTGCCAGAATCAGTACTTCGGGCATCACTGTAGAAAAGATAAACGGAGCGTAGCATTTGCCATTGGTAGAAAGCGTGGTACATTGTTGGACGCAAGTGGCGGCGGTGACAAGCCGACATCGCGGAAAGTCTTGCACTTCAAATTCCGCAACCGCCCATCCAACCCAGTTTTGACTGGAACATACACTCCTTTAGGCTCTCCCTGCAAACAAACTACAGGAAAATCTACTCAAATGAAATAAACACCTTCAAAGAGAAACAAAATGACCCGCTCAAACGCAGTCACACCCGACTACTACGAAATTTTCAACATCCAATCCACAGGAAACGCCGCCCAACTCTCAAAACAACAACTCAAACTCGCTTACCATAAAGCCCTCCTAAAACACCATCCAGACAAAGCCTCCTCAAATAGCGCCGACCTCCCCCGATCTACTCAAGACCTGCCGCACGACAGTAAAGCCTACACAATCGACGAGATAACAACAGCCTACAAAACCCTCTCCGACCCGCAGCTCCGTGCAGAATATGATCGCGCTTTACGACTAGACCGGGCGAAGATTGTCGAGCGCGAGAAAACGGGGGCCGTATTTCATACTGGGTTGGAAGTGGTTGATCTCGAGGATCTGGCTTGTGAGGAAGAACGTGATTCGGCTTTCTGGTACAGGGGCTGTCGGTGTGGTGATGAGAAGGGGTTCTTGGTGTCGGAGGAGGATCTGGAGAGAGAGGCTGACCATGGGGAGATTGTTATTGGGTGTCGGGGATGCAGTTTGTGGATGAAGGTTTTGTTTGCGGTTGAGGATGGTTGAATGGTGCATCAGGACTGAAGGAGATTTAGACTTGAGTCGTGGCTTGCACTTTGCCATGTGCCACTCCAAATTATGGTTGCTTCGGCGCCGTGATGCAATACCGACCGTACCTTTAGTCGCGGGATGTTTTGAGGCTCGTCTCATGCAAAGACGCCCAAGGAATAGGGCGAAGCAGTCCCGTTAACGACATCAGGGTTGACCGACTGAGGTTGATAGATCGCTGAACTGGATGTGCTGTCTTCGAGATGTGATGAGGGAGAAGAGGGGGAGGTGCTCATTTACAGTGTGCGTGATACCGGCATGCTGAGAGGAATCCTTAGTGCATTGTATTATATCATAGCACGTACAGTGTGTGGTGCAGATATCAAGTATTGAGGCTTTTCTTCTAATATATATAAAAGATGGCCACACCAATACATCAATTTGCCTCACAACGAACAACGCTCTATAACTCGAAAGTTCTATTTAATACTATAAAAATCATGAAGAACCTAGAATTTATCTGAACCACGCTATGCGTTTGTGCAGTGAATTTACGTGTAGCGTGTGGTTGCTTATAAGCCTTTACCCGGCAAAACTGCGGAGGGGCTAGGTATGACATATAGGTTGACCGAATCCTCCGCCCCCTCTCCCTCGTCGTTCCTCTTCCACTCTCCATTCATCCACCACAATGTCGAGCACCGTTCATATCTCCTCTAAGGAGCAGTTCAGCACCCTGCTGACGAAGTCTCGCTTTGTTGTCGCGGACTGTAAGCTTCAATCACCCCGACCCCTCGTTCCCCTTGCGTCACCCCGCCTCAGCTTCAAGACCACCTTACAACATGTCACAGCTGCTAACTGATAATCATAGTCTACGCAGACTGGTGCGGACCATGCAACGCCATCGCCCCTGCTTACGAGCAGCTGGCAGCACAGCTGTCACGCCCGAACCGAATCACCTTCACTAAGATCAACGTCGATCACCAACAGGACCTTGCTAAGGCCTACGGAGTTACAGCGTACGTCCCCCCCCTCCCCCCCCGACTCCAACACCTACAACCGTACTAACGCTACAAAACATACAGCATGCCGACCTTCATCGTCTTCGAGCGCGGCCGTCCAACCTCCACCGTCAAAGGTGCCGACCCCAAGAAGCTGTCGGACGTGGTCCGCAAACTCGCATCCGAGGCCAGCAAACCCGACGAGGGCGGCGAGGGCTCATCAGGCAGCTCCGACGCAGACTGGACCGGACTGGCCGCCCCAAAAGGCTACGCCGACATCACGGACCAGTACGATCCCAAGGGCCTGGAACTGCTGAACCGAGATAGCGAGTTCGGAACGGTGAAGACACTCTTCGAAACCTCGAAGCCGTCGGCGCTGAATAACGGCAAGGGAAAGGCTAAGGATTGGGTCGAGAGTGATACCGATGAACAGCTTATGCTCTTTGTTCCGTTCCAGTCGACGCTCAAGGTGCATTCGTTGCAGATTACTTCGTTGCCTCCTAGTGATGGTGACGATGATGAGGTTCCCATGCGCCCGCAGACGATCCATCTCTATACGAACCGCTCGCATGTTCTGGGCTTTGACGAGGCGGATGGCATCGATCCTGTGCAGACGGTGACTATCCAGCCTGAGGACTGGGATGAGAAAACCGGAACGGCCAAGATTGACTTGCGGTTTGTCAAGTTCCAGAGGGTTACATCGCTGGTTATGTTCTTTGTGGATGGGGATGGGGACAGCGACAAGCTGCGCCTGGACCGTATCCGTATCTTTGGCGAGGCGGGTGAGAAGAGAGAGATGGGTAAGTTGGAGAAGATTGGTGATGAGCCTGGCGAATAAGCGATAGACTGGATATTATAAGGATACCTTAGACGGATTACGATTCTACAGAAGCAATAGTGAATTGAAAATTTACATTCCTTCGAATCTAGCGTACTATGGATAACCTAGTAGAACCCCCTCCAAGTACCTGGTAGTACCAGGAATTTTGATGGGAGGCTAGAAGGAGATGTCCGATCCCAAACCAAATGGTCTCATCCTTAGAAAATTCAGAAAGACCAATAAAGTAGAACCAGCGTGCAATTTTCATTTCTCTGTGACGCAACTGACACTTGGTCACATCATGGGGGAAATATGATGTCCAAGCAACACGGGTGAAATAGTAGTTGCGTCGCCGCACGAAGAAAGAAAAGAAAAAAAATTCCTCAAAGAATCGCAGCATCGCGAGATATTTATCCTGTGGTTTTTCGGAACCGGACTTACTTTCTCAATTCATTGTAGACTATTTAGCCGAGTCAAAATTAGGTAATGGGAATGATTACATAAGATGTTGATATGAAAAATTTTCTTTCGAACTTTTTCTCTTCTTTTTTCTTTTCCTATAAAACAAATAAGGCTTATGATGAGACAATTGGATGTTAAATATATGATAGGAAGAGACTGATTCCTGCTGGGAATGTGATCTCAAACTCCATCCACTGAGGCCTTTTTTGTCCTACGTTCTGCTTGGGTTTCTTTGTTGGTTGCTGCTGGGGCACTTTTGTCCTACCTTGATGCTTGGAGGACATTACACTTGGCGGTGGAAGGTTTGAATATTGATAAAGACATGTGTGGTGTCTGATAGCTTAGCGAATAGCAAGTAATATGTCCTCGTCGTTTTGAGTTGTTCAAGTATATCCAAAGTTTCCCAGGATGTGTGCCAGTTGCCGATCTAGTGCGTTGCTCCTGCAATTGCGTCAGCGTACTCCGTTTGAATTTCTCTATCGCGATAAATTGCTTGCACAAATGTCGTCATTTGCGCCGGTCTCCGACCACGGTTCTCCCCGATTCAGATAGACAATCTTAGGGACAGGAGGACCTTGGTCGTGCACGACCTGTAAAAAACAAGACTCACTAACGCGGGAACCTGAGCGCTGTTCCTTCCGGTACCGACCAATGCTTCATCTTTTTTTATCTGTTGATCCATAGTTGATTAATTGACCCGAGCAACCACCAGTGAACCACGGGCCGAGTATGTCGCGGCAAGATCTGAACCGATCGTTTCCTCGTATCGGATCTGGTTACCCCCAGTCAGCTGAATCCTGTCCGCCACAGGTGTTTCATATGTGTCCACCGTCACCGCTGGTACTGCGAATCGTAGATTGAGGCTCTCCAACGGAGAGGACGGAGATCGGAGATGCGAGAGAAAAAATTATCAAATTCATCGCCCCCCCCCTCCCTTTGGGAGCAATGGCGCATATCTCCTCAGTATGGTTGCATTGGACCCACGAGATGCACCACGGGAAGGTCTCACCGTGAGACGCAGCGATCAGTCGGGCCCTTCCTTCCATAGGTAAATCTGGTGATAGTGTGTGTGGAGAAATAGTGCCTCTGGAGTAAAATTCTATCCAGATAGAGTTTCAGTCTATTGTCGGCGCTATTTTCGTTTAACCCCCGCCGCCGACCAAAGCTTCCAACACTGTACACCGTACAGAGTAGGAGGGCCCTCTTTAGCGATGTCGGACTTGGGATAGTACCGCTTTTCATTCATGGTTCGGTGGTTCCAATGACCCATCGTTGTACTCCTGGAGTAGAAAGATATCGAAGTTGCTTTTGCAGGGTTTTTTCCCCATGACAAAATTTAGTAGTAGTGGCAAGTGGCAATATTTTGAGGCCTTGCAAAACTCTGACCAGAGCTGAGAGTCAGATAAGGGAAATCGTGCATGAAGATCTCTGAAATTATTGTGTTCTCCGCATCTTCCAAATAGACCGAAAGTCAACATGAAATTGGCTCATTCTAAATGGAAGGGTTCAGACTATCTGGAAGCCTGTCACTCTCTTCAATGATCAATAGTGAGAGAGTTTCTCCAAAAGTCTGGGACTCGGTGGATAACCGAAAACCTTCGTTTTCGTGAATTCACCAAATAGTGACACCTCCTTCCCGTCTAAGATAAGCACTGGGGGAAGAGAACCTTGGTCACCTTTTGTAAGGTGCAATCATGATCAGCATAGTTGAGCCCACGTTTCTCCAAATTCCAGCGGCCCGCATATACCACACACGGACTAGACTCGGACTCTGCAACCAATCTTCTCGCTTGAAGCAGGCCAGGTTCTCCAGATTCAGGAACCGGAATGCTTGGTCCGGTTGAACAGTTTCCCCTCCCACAATCATATTATTCGTCCATGATCTTCCAATACGGAGTAGCGTTGCGCGGTACTCCGCAGTAGAACCGCTGATAGCGAGTCATGATGCCATAGAATTACCCAATTGGTTAAAAAATCATCGCAAACCAAATGGTGTATCACGCACGTGCTGCTCTGGCAGCCCTTCTGCAGTCCCCATTGCCTAGGTTGAATGGTTCAATATGTTTGACTTTTGCCGCTGGTGATCGACACCGCTAGTTGTGTCCTCCTGCTGCAAAGCTCCAGGAACGGAACTCAAATCTGTGCGCCACGGGCCTCTTTTTGCTCTATTCTTTCAATTTTTGACAGTGGGAGTTGTTTGTCCTAGCTCAAATGCCGGGATATCGCCCCCCAGCGGCACTAGGTCTAGGAGGATTTGGAAGCCAATGGAAGTCGGCAAATGTACACCGCAGGTTCCAGGAAGGAATCCAACAAGCATTTCGCCAGACCAGGACATCCACTAACTAGTACTATGCATGCAGCTACATCTCGGGTCGAGAAGTGGACACGGTGTACTGTATAGGTCCCCGCAAAACCACTTGTAGCTCATCGGGGTCAATTCTGATCCCGGGCTTACAGCGATGGGAGTTCTTGGCAATTATCCATTACTCAAGAGGAAATGAGGGATTTCACATTCGATCTTGACTGTGTGGAGTTTTGTCACTATTGTGAGATGTGTGGTAACGTGAGAGTTAGTAAACCTAATAAAAAAAGTTTTAACCAAAGTGTTAAAAACGAAACTATTTGACAATAAGTCTCGTATCGAGGAAAAAGAATACCAAATGGAACCTTCTTCGAATGTCTTGGCATTATGACGACGAGGGACCCTCCTCGTGTGGCTAACTTTATGACGGTTTCAAAAAAAAAAAAAAAAAAAAAAAAGAAAAACGTCATTTGGAATTCTGAACCAACAGCTTCAAATAGATAGTATTTCGTACTTTGTTAGTGGTGGTGGTTCCTATACGTAGATGGTTAGGTATCTCCATTGTCGAAGAGATACTAAGCGACTAGTACGCCACTGGGTGAGAGAAACAAAGATGATTGGAGGATTCACGGACGCGTAGTCTGTTTCAGATGTTGAGCTTCCAACTTCCGACGAAAGTCTGACCACAGAACTGGGTACCTTTTCCGAGCGGATGGGTTGGAAACCTCGAATATTTCCGGAAACTGACCTAATTGACGGTCTTTCCCGACCGAGAAGGTACCTTGCTAGCCATGCCCCCACAGGCTAATATATGTGTGGCTTTAGGCTAAGATAGTAGATCATTTACGTAGAACAAAGACTGGGAAAGCCTGGAAGTAAGTCTACTTTGGAGTAAGACATTTTTGTGTGAAGGAAACAAAATCGTTAGGGCAAGTTCTAAATGGCCGTGCCATAATTTGGTATTTCCGTATCAAGGCATTCCAGCATTGGTTCCATAATGATCAACATAATTAATCGTGCCATCAGTTGATAAACAACCAGAGATTCCAAATCAGCTAATGGCCTTCCTCTTTGAGAAATACTCCTAGTCCACCTTCAACCGTTGCATGATGCGCTTCACTTTCCTAAGTAATTCATTTGACTAGTGATCCACAACTCCTAGGAGTGGGTGCTTGTACAATCTTATGATAATGAGTGATGCCGATGCTATGTATACTCTTTCCCCCACGGTACTTTAGCCAACCGAGTTCCGGTCAATGTCATACATACTAAATTTGGTACCGAACCACTGTTGAGTCGTCTAAATCAATGAACTTGTCGGATGTTGCGGCCACGATTAAGAGCCTAAGGCAGGAGTACACGGGATCCTCATAGGTCTTTGCTGATTCGCCGGGGGAAGCCGCACCTTCCCGTGGCCTTCAAGCACGGTCGCTTTGACTCTCAATGCCTAATCAGGGCCGCTTCCAATGTCCACACTAGGACCCTACCACCCGCGGATGCGCGCCATACTCCGTCTTGAATCCACAAGTGTCAACGTCGCAAAGAGACGCTGTTCCGTTGGCTTGGACCTCCGTTCATCTTAAACCAGTAAGGAGCGGTTCGGTGGCAGACCGAGAATACGCCATGAGGCGAGACAACGGTCGAGACTATTTGATTTTAGTTGACAGTTTAGTATTATGATATCGTGTGTGGAGTCGAAATAGACCTGTCATTGAGTGGCTAGACTCCGACGCTCTCGAAAGTCACCCAAACTGCTTCTAAAATGATGATCTGAATTGATATGTGTGCGACGGATTAACAATGATGAAGAATCATGATCGTCAACGGCGAGCTCACTCTAGCTCGTACACACCGTACTTTGTGGGGTTGAGCCAAGTTGAGCAGCAATTTTCTTACCTGTCAGATTGAGAGAATGTTCAGAGCCGTTGATTTTCTCTCAAAAAGTTTTTTCTTTTTTTTTCTTTTTTTTTTTCTCTATGATGACCCTCTTTTCTTTGTGCCCAGTAAATAGATCACAAAAGTAATTTCTTGGTCTGTTGTCTGTGCTACAACGGTTTCTGCGGTGGCGTATCTTTTTTTGGTGGCGAGACAGGGGTTCACTGCAAAAAGCCCTCGAGGACTGATGGTCATCTTCTGCTTACGTCGTCAAGTCCGTCGGATGTTGCAACGTCGTGATTGACATTTGTTGATTAACTTTCCGGCCTTCAAAGTACTCTCTGTAATTACTCTTCGGCCTCTGTTATGGAGCAACGTGGAGTGTAGTGGTAAGTACTAACAAGAGTAGTGGTGGTTTAACGTTCCTTCGTTGCCTTCTCGAAGGTCGCCAATTTCCTTCCATGCATGATTTAAAATTACATTGACGGAGACTCTAACCGGAGTCGGTATAACAACAACTCGTCTAGATGGGGCTTTCAAAATTAATGAATATCTCACTGGGTTCTTAGGGTGCTCTAGACGACCTGCTACTGTATGGACGTTAGTAGCATCGTACACTATATACTAAACATGCGGATATGTTTTTATCGCGCAGTCCCTTAAGGGTTTAGTGACCTTGCGGCAGTCTCCGTTCCCAAAACATCGGAATATCAGGGGACTCCTTATCACCGAACCCCCTGTCATCCAATCGCTCACCCTGGGCAAAAAGGATAAAAGTGGCGCCGGGGTAGAGTGGATTACAACCAATCACGAATAGATTCTATCTTTAGATGGAACCAATAGTGGCCCGGAAAAACCCTCGCTCCCCCCGAATTTTATCAAATAGATAAAAGAAACAAATTGAATGGCCGCATGACGAAGTATCACACGAAGTTTTTCGGGAAAGAAAGTCCCGAAGGGAACGGCTTGGGTGTTACCGTGGCAAGTAATTTAGCTTTTTTACCAGACGGCGCTTCGTTGTTACATGGCGGTCTCGCTCTTGGAGCTTGCGTGTTTTCCCTGGCTAAAAAAGCTTTGATCTAATTCGGGCTCTTGGCTTGCATTTGACAGCTCTGACCTTGTCCCTTGCTTGTGGCGCAGCCTGTCAGTGTTATCTGTAAATCTGGTTCATCGCGTTTGTTTCGGATTTCGTGGACCAGTTTCTTGCTTGTTTTTTTTTTTTTTTTTTTGCATGAAGGGTAAGTAAGGATGGTGGTCATATGTAGGTGTCTGCAAGTGTTATGTAAGATGTGACTCGGGCAAACAGGTCAACGATTCCTTGTACCTTGGGGGTTTTACCGATACAGTCTAAAGTGACCAGGATGAGCATCGACAGCCAACCATTGTACTCTTTCTCTCAAAAATAATTCTATTTTGACAGTTCGGATGGTGTAACCTGAGTCGATGGCAACATCCAAGCGTCACCTTTGATTCCGATTCAAGCAAGGGTTGGATCGTTTTAGTAGATTCTGAGTCGCGCCAGGGCTGCAGGCTGCATTCTCCGCACTTGTTCCTGCAGTAGGCTTAGGTAAAGCTGATCGATCATGTATCCAGTAGCCGTTGAACAGGTCGAATGGCAAATGTGAGCAGCTCTTTGTTATGAATCTTTTTAAGGTTATAGTGCTTTGCACTATGGGTTGGTGGCCCAAGTCTCAATTTTAAGGCGAGGCGAGGTCCAATGGTACTGGGATCCAGTACCCCGGTTGAATCATCCTGTTCCGCGCATGACATGTAAGATAGAGGACTCAATATGACTACGTGCCTTATGCAGGTAAGTATCTTATGATAAGTTGCCTAACTGGATCGTCCTATGTAAGCGAAGTCAAAGCGTTTCGTTCCTCGACATCAGTAGGAGTACTTTGTTTTCGAGAGACTATGCCATAGAAAGTGCTGTTGGAAGACAGTAGGGCAACATGACTACAACCTGACTAAGTTCATATTGTCCGTCGACATGCTCTAATGTAAGGTACGAGCTGTACAACCACCATGCCACTATTAGATACCTAGTGGGGCCTAGTCGAGATCGTTTCACCATTCGTTGATTGAACATAGTATGTCTACTCGAAATTTGCTACTACGTAGATGAAAAGCCAGGACTGGTATGTTGGTGACGTGATTGGAAAACGCTCCAATATCGTCGTGGGCGACCCAAACTTCTTTTTGCGACCGATATTCGGATTGACACTATTCCGTCATTTGACTATCAAATACAACATCTTCTTTACCCGCTCACGCAGATCTTAACTGGACGAGAAAGGCAAAGAAAAAAAAGAAAAAGAAAAAGAAAAAGCAAAGTGATGTTCATCATTCCTTTCTTTTTCCAAACATCATTTTCGCCTTGGGGTCGAATCCCCAAATGGCGGACGGGACGATGCTCAGCGGGGCCGGCTAGGCTAGCCGGCGAGTCAATCCTCCCATTCACGCGCAGACTTCATTGGCCCTCAATGCAGCTTCCGTGTACCCAGTCTTGCAGCCAACTTTCGCAGTGGAAGAAATGTCACCCATTATCTGGCCTATCAGTGACCCTCAGCCCATGGGATGGCGAGGTCGGATGTTCTTTACCCATTTTTCCCTTTTCTTCCTAGTGCGGTCCCACCACCCTACTACTTTCCTCTCCTGTGAGGCCGCCACCCCACTCCAATTTACTTTTGCTAATGGCCACTGGCTCGATTTTGGACTCGCACTCCCATGTTGGTGGGACAGTGAAGCCGCTGATAAGCCAGATAGGCAAAGACTTGGGGATGCAGGTCGGTTTCCCATTGGTAACGAGACTACCGATATGTATGGCACATCACCGTATCACTGTACATCAATCACTGTCGTCCGTCCCCAGATTCAGATTATCATTGATCAATGGGAGGGATACGGCTGATGTCTTAGTTTAGGGTCAACATTGTCTTGATCTTTGCAGTCTGACTGGATTCAGAGAATCATGAACGTGACGTTTACTCTCGGGCAATCAATTGTCAGGCTACTATTTCAGAAAAGCAAATCATACTTCAGGTTTACCTTTCAGCCCAGGTCTCGGATACTAGTAACAGTGGCAATTCACACACACAACACACACACTGCACAATCAAGTGGTAGGACTGTACAGTAGGATTAGGGCACCAGTCTAAGGATTATTACCAATGATACCTAAATAATTTAATCGACTAGTATTATTATTCAAATTTAATAGGATGGAGGACCAACAACCTGTATTATAGTATTACATGAGACATCATACTCTACACCATCAATCCATTGTCAATGCGGCATTTGACCACGAGTGAGGTTTTTGTCTTTCACTCCTCATCCCCAATTTTTACGCCTTTCCTTTAATAATTGGTATAGAACAATCTCCGCATTTTTTTTTTTTTTACGAAGTACTATTACTAGAACTATCAACGTGTGGTATACTAAGTTGGCAGGAACCAAAATTTCCCAAGGTAAGGTACCAAGTTGTATGTAATGAAATGGGGGTGGCCACTTTTGTTTTTTCGTTTAATCTTTTTTATTTTTATTTTATTTTGTTTTTGGAGAGTCCTCATATGGAGCCTTTATGAGGACCACCCAGGTGGTCCACTCGTGCTCATGCGTCCCACATGCTTACGCCTTTTTTGGGTTCCCCGGCCGAGGTAGTGGTCCCATTCCCTGTTAGTCGCGCATTGGATTTGTCGGCTGTGTAGTTCGGATGAGATCCTACGCTACCCTTCCCCAATGGAGCAATGGCACAACATTTTAGGGTAGACTTAGTTGTGACTAGCAAAATGTAGATGTTGGTTATGATGATGCGGCGGATGCTGCCACTGTTGACGATGAAGGAGTCCCACCTCCCGTCTTGTTGCTCCGCTGTTGGAGGAACTGAGATGTGCACCGGCGTCAATCTGTGTCTGCTTGTGTGCCGTCCTGCGTTTCGTTTTACGTGAGAGTTGTGTCTATAGGGCGGATGTCGGAGATGTTATACAATAATACACAACCCAAAAAATAAAAAAAAAGTTATGAAGAATCAGACAAGAAAATAAAAAAAAAAGGGCAAAAAGAAGAAAGCAAAACTGACAGAGAAGTTTCCCCTCAAAGTGTAAATTGGGAGTTGAGAAAACAATTGGGATTCATGAACAGAGTTATTCCCATTGATCATTCGCACCATTCAGGCAAAGATTAACTGATAATCATAGGAAATCTGGCACCACCATGGAGAGTATCCTTGGATTTGATGGGCGGATGCACCGCAGCCATCCATTAATGAGTTACTCCATTTATTATGATTTATTTTTTTTTTGTGAAATTTAATTTTTTTGGGGGGGGGG